AGTAGGAACATACTTCAAAATTGTAAAAGCTATATGTGTTAAACACAAGGCCAACATAATTTTGAATGGAGAAAAATGGAAAGCATTCCCTCTAAAAACTGAAACAAGACAAAGATGCCCTCTTTCACCACTATTCAACATTATCATAGAAGAAACTCTAGCCAGAATAAATTAGGCAAAAGAAATAAATTAAAGGAATACAAATAGGTAAAGAACTCAAACTATCACTATTTGCTGATGGCATGATTCTATATTTAGAAGACCCAAAAGATTCCACCAGAAAACTTTCAAAAAACCAAAGGCCAAATGTTTTCTCTGATTAGTGGATGCTGATCCACAATGGGAGGGCGGGCATGGGAAGAAGAGAGGAACTTTGGGTTGGGCAAAAGGGAGGGTGGGGAAGGAAGTGGGAATGGGGAAGGAAAGCTGGAGAAATGAAACCAACAACATTACCCTAGGTATGTGTATGATTGCAGGAATGGTACAACTCTACATCATGTACAACTAGAGAAATAAAAGTGGTGCTTCATTTTTGTACAATGAATCAAAATGCATTCTGCTGTCATGTATAACCAATTAGAACAAATTGGAAAAAAATGTAGATCTTAGAAAAATGCTAATTTTGATGTTTATTTATTACATATTTATTTTGCTGAGCACTCATGCAGTTTTAGCAGTGGCCCACAAACCAGTGGACCAGCATGATGTCTCCAGAAAAATTGTTAGAAAAGCTTTGGAACCTCTGAATTTAAGCCTGAGAATCAATGTGGTGGGGGGCTCACACAGTGTTTCTTAATGAAGCCCTCAAGGCAAGCCTGCTTGTGCTAATGAATTAGCACCAGGAGTTCACCTTAAGGACTTTCCACTCAGTGGCAAAAACACCTCACCTGCACACGTTTTAGAAATGCAAAAATCTCAGGCTACATGCCAAACTCACTATTTCAGAAACCAATCTAATATAGTCTCTAAGGAATTTAAATGAGAACCTTTGTCTATATCACCATTTGTGCATGATACAATGAGGACTTCTTCAGCGAGGTGAGAAATGTGACAGCCTCACTGGAGAAATGATGAAATCTAACATCTTAAACAACCTAACCCATGGAGCCCAGGGCAGCCAAGCTGCTTAACAAACTGCAGAGTGATGGCAGAGCCAGAGTTCAGAGGGGTTAAAAAAGGGGTCTGCAGGAAATACTCCATCAGAAACACGGTCATTTTATCTGGGTTGCCAGGAGCAGATATGTCGGGAAGGCTTCAGAAGCTGAAGAAATTTCTGCAGAGGGCAGGAGACTAAAAGGATCAGGAAGTGGAGGCTGGTGCAAGCACACAGCTGTAGATATCTGGGTAGTACTCCCTGGGGTTCAGGGGTGGGAACTGCACACTTCCTATGAAAAAGGAACGTGTGCAGTCAGGGTAGGAGGGAGGTGGACCACAGGACTGTACAGGCCAGTGACCACTTGACTCCTGATTCCCTTCCAAACTTCCCTGGCACCATATTGCAGGTAGTTGTCCAGAAAAATTGAGGTGGATAGGAGCTGGTACTGAAGCATGGAGGCTTTGTGTCAGAACGGGAAGGCAAAGAGCTGTGGTGAGGTGAGAATTAGGCTTCCATTTCCCACAGGTAGCCTGTGGACTACAATGATGAGCTGTCCTTGAGCTGCCCACTGTCAGGGCCCCTGTGAGCTGTTACCCTTCTGTATCCTCCCTCAAGAACACTTCCTTGAACACACATCCAGCAGCCACCCCAAGCATACGGAATGCAAGGTCAGGTCCTACAGTCCATGTGCCTATGCAGAGTAACTGGATGGTCCCCCCCTCCAGCATAGGAGCATGCTCCAGGACTCAGGCCATCCTGAGTTAGGTGGCATTGCTATTGGATCAGGTTAGTCACTGCTACTCCTCAAGTGCATCAAATCTACACATATTGGGGTTGCTACCCTTGCTGGACCCTTCACAGTGTATATATGGATGGGGGCTTCAGAGCCTTGCAGAGGGGTGGAAGAGGTGAAGGGGTGCCCTTCAAATTTTCACTTTCTTCCTGCCTTCAAAGGCTGTGCTGAGCAATTTTAGAAGCAGTTGCTCCAACCTTAGAAAATTTCCTTCTGGGCTATACCGTCAGGGTCATGTATCCTACTTATTATTCTTTTGGATGAGAAAACATGGCATTCTTTTTTTAAATATTTATTTTGTAGTTATAGGTGGGCACAATATCTTTATTTTATATTTATGTGGTGCTGAGGACCGAACCCAGTGCCTCACACATGTTAGGCAAATGCTCTACCTCGGAGCCACAACCCCAGCCCCCAAACAGGCATTCTTAATGAATCCTTTATGGGGCAGAATTAACTCCTCTTCTGACCCTAGATGTCCCATTGGATGGGTAGTTGATAAGAACAGTGGGGAGGGAAAATGTTAGCAAAGGGTAAATGTGGCAACTGCAGGAAGAAGAAAGTTAAGCCTAAGGGATTTCTGCAGCTGGGACAATTGCAGTAATTATTACTTTTGCAGTGCTGGTAGATGGGAGGGGGAGGTGTTGTCCCTGCAAACATTTGATCCTTCTCTTTCCAGAGAAGGCCAGGCATGTGACAGGAGTCCTAAAATAGTCTGGCTGGACCTGTCATTAATTGACCACGTGGCATCCCTCAGCTAGTTTCCTCCTCTTTCAAGGAAAAGGCAAGAATCAGTGTTGACTGTGCTGCAAAGAAGACAAAGTGAGGCACTTTTGGAGGTCCCCATCCCTGACTCTGGTGTTCTTGCTTGATAGGACTCCAGACAAGATGCTGCACTTACTAAAACAACAGCAAAGTTTATTTAAAAGAAAAGGAAAGCTGGCCACAGTGGCACACAACTAAGGCAGGAGGACTGTGAATTCAAGTCCCTATTCAAGTCAGCCAGACAGTATCTTAAAAGAAAAGAAAATATTTACAAAAGACTGGCACTCCTGGTTCAATATCCAGTTAAAAAATAAAAAGGTATAAAAGTGAGGAAAGAGGACACTCTAAAGGGAGGGAATGGGTCCTCTCAGAGGCAAAGATAGTGCATTCCTCCTGTGCTCCAGTTTTATTGGGAGTCCCAGAGAAATGTTCAGAGAGTTCTATTTTTAATTGTTCAGTTTAGGTACCAAGATATCAAACAAACCTGATTAACATTTTAAGTCATTTTTTTTCTGCCAAAGACAAACATTAACAGCATTTTTTTTTTCAACATCTGCACATGGAAATAAAATTCTTGCCCTGCCAACTGAGCTAATTAGTTCATGAGTGTTTCTTTGACTCCCGGGGTGCCTAGAACTCCCAGTATTTCTGGCATATACAACATGGGCACCCCATTGGCTGCTCTGCTGCACACCAGAATCACACAAGGTGTTCATGTTGAGCTCTACAGCAGTGGCAGTCCAATGGCCCAAGGGCCTCTGCTGAATCAGTCAGTGTACCAAGCACTCTTGTTGCCCACCAGAACTGCTTCTTCCTGAAAGGATGATGGTTCTGTCAGGTTACATTCATCACCAGTGTCTGGTGCATCCTCAGGGGCATACTGCACTGGCCATAGAACCTTTCTGAGATCATAGGATAAATGACTAGGGCATAGAGCACTTCTCTATTCCAAATATGCCCTAATTTGATGGAGGAGGTGTCTGGCTATGCCCATCCAATTCATGCACCATGGGAATTTCTGCATGCAGAGAAGACACCACTTCAGTCAGTGCTCCATAATCTAGCCATTCTCCAGGTGCCATTAGGTTTTTTCACCAGCTGTGACTATTCTGCAATCATTGTCTGCCCCCAGTTCTATAGTCACAAAGCCCAGGCTGCCCATGGTCTGTTGGTCTTCCTTCTGAGCTCCTTCTGCGTTCTACCACAGACCACATTGTGGGGGCTGAAAACTCAGTGGGGACAGAAAGCTCCTCTGAGCCCTTTGCTGAAGATGGAGTTGGAACTTGTAGGAAATCTGTTTAATTTCTACACGTGACCCTTCAAGACACAAAGTATCAAGTTTACTTTTCATGGTGTATAGTTCAGTCCCAGCTTAGGCATTACAATATTTTATGTCTTGAAGAATATGTCAAGTCCTAGAATGTAGTGTCCAGTTTTCTCCTTCTTCTTTTGCATCTGGAGGGAGGTTTTACTTCTTTGTTTTATAATGTTAGGCCTTAAACCCACAGACACTCTATCCCTGAGCAGCATCCCCAGCTCTCTTCATGTATTCTTATTGGCTCAGAGAACCATTATCCACATTCCAATTATCCAGCTTCAATGTCAGGTTTGGGATGCTTCTGTATTCTATTGGAGGTCTCTCAGGGAATGGCAGGACCTTGCACCAAAGAAAATTATTTTATAGGGCTTAAGGCCAATCAAATGATTGTCAAGTAATCAGCATCAAGAACTATGAAAATAGGCTAAGGCTATTCTTTTATTGGTGGGTGTAGCTTATATGGTCATTTTTTTTTCCTATGTTGAGGTAGGCTTCCAACTCTCAGCTAGGGTCCACGTTATATCCCACTGTTACTCAGCTTTTCTTGGACATAAGGAAGTTATATGTGCAGAAAGTTTCTCAGATAGCAAAGAAACTGACTAAACTAAAGTAAAACAGAATCCTATGTGAATAATCCCAGCTTTTACGGTTTAATCCAGAAATTGCAAGATTGGGTCTGGTAACATAAAAAGTACAAACAGGAAATATTTAACAGCTTCTTGAAGTCAGCATTTTTTCCTACTTCAATAGAAAAGCAATAGATATGGGTGAATTCTCAATCTAGTGTATCAAGTTTCTGTGTATGATAAATGAGCAGGGAGGGAATCTTGTAGGAGAGTGGCTAGGGAGATGCATGATTTTTACCTTCATCAAGAGGACTTAAGTTTTCAAAGCAGAAAAGAAAAACAGACTGGAAGAAAAGGGATAGGAGAGATGATAAAAAGACAAATAGAAAGGCTGAGAGGGAAGGAAGGAAAGGAAGGAAGGGAAGGAAGGGAGGGAAGGGAAGGAAGGGAGGGAAGGGAAGGAAGGAAGGAAGAGAAGGAAGGAAAGGAAGGGAAGGAAGGGGAGGAGGGGAGGAGGGAAGGAAGGTAGGAAGGAAAAACTCCCTGCACTCTGACTCAGAGCCCTGCAGAGCTTTGCCATTGGAAGGAGATAAGAGTGTGCTTAGCTGCTAGGGAAATACATTCCAATTTAGTACTCTGGGTACTTGTAGCATGTGCAGGAAATCTAGCAGGTGTTCTGGGGTGCTATGATTGGGACTTTCCTTGTCTCCTGCATGAATTCTCTGGTGTTTGGTAAAGGATGAAACATCCTTAAAAGCACTGCTGCATTCTTTACATTTGTAGAGCTTCCCTCCAGTATGAATTTTCTGGTGTTGGGTAAGGTGTGCTCTTTGAGTAAAAGCTTTCCCACATTCTTCACATTTATAGGGTTTCTCTCCTGTATGAATTCTCTGGTGTCGAGTAAGGTGTGCTCTTTGAGTAAAAGCTTTCCCACATTCTTCGCATTTGTAGGGCTTCTCACCTGTATGAATTCTCTGGTGCTGTGTAAGCTTTCGCGTTTGGGTAAATCCTTTTCCACATTCTTCACATTTGTATGGTTTGTCTCCTGTATGAATTCTCTGGTGTCGAGTAAGGTGTGCTCTTTGAGTAAAAGCTTTCCCACATTCTTTACATTTGTAGGGCTTCTCTCCTGTATGAATTCTCTGGTGTTCAGAAAGCTTTTGTGTTTGAGTAAAACCTTTGCCACATTCTTTACATTTGTAGGGCTTCTCTCCCGTATGAATTCTCTGGTGTTGAGTAAGATGTGCTCTGAGAGCAAAACCTTTCCCACACTCTTCACATTTGTAGGGATGCTTTCTAGTATGAACTTTCTGATGTTTAATAAGGTTTGATCTGAAAGTAAAACACTTGCCACATTCTTCACACTTGTAGGGCTTCTCTCCAGTGTGAATTCTCTGGTGTAGAATAAGGTTTGAGCTACGATTAAAACATTTCCCACATTCTTTACATTTGTAGGGCTTCTCTCCAGTATGAATCCTTTGGTGTTCAGTAAGAGTTGAAAAATTTTTAAAAATTTTGTCACAGTCTTTACATTTGTAGGTTTCCTCACTGCTATGCCATCTCAGGTGTTTAGAAAAGGTTGAACAACCCTTAAAGGGTTTGCCACATTCTCTACATTTGTAGGGTTTCCCTCCAGTATGAATTGTGTGGAGATTAACAGGGCATGGTTCTCTATTAAAAGTTTGGCCACATTCTATAAATCGGTAGTGTTGACCACTGCTATGGTATTTAGAAAGGGGTGAGCAACTCCACGCTTGAACACATTCCTTAAATTTGGGGGGCTCCCTTCCAGGATGAGCTCCACTGTATTGAGGAAGGCTAGCCACTGGGTTAGAAGCTCTCTCACATTCCTCACATTTGCAAGGTGCCTCTTGGCCCTGAGTACTTGGATGGGTCATAAGCTTTGAGCATTGAGGAAAGATGTTCCCACATTTATCATCTTTGTAAAGGTTCTGTGCACAATGAGCACACTGATGTTCTCTCATATTGCAACCAGAGCTAAAATTCTTATGTGTCTTGTCACATTTATAATTTTTTTCTCCAATATAAGTACACTGGTAATTGCTTAAGATAGGGACCTCTCTAAAGGTGTTGCTTGCTTTATTACATGTGTTGTTTACTTTCCAGATATCTAAATTTTGAGTAGGCAATAATGAGTGCATAGGTGCCTTCCCAGAATCATTAAAGGTGTATGTTTTGTCACAAGAAAGAATTCTTTTTTTATTGCAGAATAATGGACAGTTTGCAAGGACAGTTTCAAAATGATCCCTTTTAGAAACTTGTCCTTCAGTTATAAATTGAATACTTTTCTGAGCTATTAAATGTTCTTTAGGTCTGTTGACATTAAAATTTTCTTTATGGACAGTCACTACTAATTTGTCTTGTCCTTTATAATATGATTTCTGACCTTCACTCTCACCTACACTGTCACATACTTTCTTTTGTTGGAAATAGTCAAGGTCACAATTTCCATATCTTCTCTTTATAACTTTTTTAAATAAATATTCTATGCCAGGTTCTGATGAAATTTTCTGGGTATGATGAGAGGTCATGCCTGAAATAAATGAAAATAACAGTTATTTTACATATTAGACTAGAAATATGCTTTGTATATATAATATAAAATTATAGCAGTCAGTATATCAGCAGGGTGGCTGAATAGTACACCAAAGGCCATTATTACCCCATAAATACATAACAGTGGAGAGAAAAAATTACTTTGTATGAATTATAAACCACATGAGAGTTCACAGTATCCAAGATGAGCATATCATTAAGGAGAGTGATATAGTAGAGGAAAGGAAAGTATGTTACTTTTATCCACTACAGGTCTTCCTCTTCAAGCATACACCTTTGTACAATTATGAAAAATCCACCAACTTCCTTCTTCTCTATCGATAGCAAAAGGAAATGTGAAACTTAAACATTTCTGACTTTCTTGGGGAAGGTCTGAAAACCACTTGACAGAGAAATGGATTTAAGATATTGGTTTTTGGATGACAACAACACAGATATTCAATAGGAGTAAAGAGCCTATGATCTCCAAGGAGAAATATGGATATATCTTTTTTAATGGGAACAATACACAAACAAACATGCACAAAGCCTATATTAGTATGACTTGGATGAAGTCAACACATGGTGATCAAGACAAATGACTTGCTTTTTAATTTTTTTCAATTCTAAAATTTATTTTTATTATATTGAAATATAGTCAAATTATTTTTCTATTATGATACCCTTTTTATTTGTTCTGATTAGTTATATATGACGATAGAATAATTTTGACACATCATACGTAAGTATGAGTGTAACTTCTCATTCTTTGGGTTGTGCCCAATGTAGAATCACATTTGACATGTAGTAATATATGCACATAGGGTAGTAATGTCTGATGCATTCTACTATCATTCTTACACCATACATTATCACCCTTTTCACTCTCCTCTGCCTAATCTGAAGTACCTCTTTTCTTCTCTAGTTGCCCCTCCTTATTGTGAATTAGCATCTACATATCAGAGAAATATTTGGCATTTGTTTTCTGGGGACTGGCTTACTTTGCTCAACATGATATTCTCCAGCTCCATCCATTTACCAGTAAATGCCATAACTTTGTTCTTCTTTAAGGCTGAGTAATATTCCATTGTGTATATGTACCACATTTTATTTATCCATTCATCTGTTGAAGGGCACTTAACAGGCTTCCATAGTTTAGCTATTGTGAATGATAGACCCAACCTGATCTTTTCTTAAAATTGGGAGCCATCTTGCCACAAAGCCATGAAAAGATAATTTCGGCTTTACTATGAATTACTGCAAATTCTGAACATGCTTGGAATGCCTGCCTGTGCCTTGAACTCACCCATGCCTGGCTCTCTGACCAGATAGCAGCCCTCTCTGAAACTTTAGTGACACCTTATAAATATTGGCCTTCCCTGGCCAGACAATGACCCTCTCTGAGGCTCTAATGGTCCTCATAAATTCTGATGTTGGGGCCAGCAAAAAATGTAAACTACCATTAGTGTGATGCTTGTCAGAGTTCTGTTATCTGTAACCCCCCTTTGTGTAACTTTCTGGGCTATAAAGCTGGGCTGCAGGAAAGCTGGGGGGCTGTCTTGTTCCCGCCGTTTTGGGAGGGAGAGGCAGCCCGGCCGGTGGAAATAATAAGCTTGCTTTAATTTGATTTTAATTGGAGTCAGTGGCCTTTTCTTGTGTCCTGGTCTAACAGTGAGCTGCTATAAACATGAACGTGGCTGTGTCACTGTATGATATCCTCACTAATATGAGGTTGTAAACCTCTATTTGTTTACATGATCCATATGAGTGATGTTTTTTCCATCCTTTCATGTTCATTCTGTGGAATTAATTGGCTAGGAGGTGAGACAGCATACTGTTGGGTCTTGATTTTTAAACCAATCTGCCAGTCTATGTCTTTTGATTGACATTAACATTCAAGGTTATTATTGAGATGTGATGTGTATTCCTTGACATTTTGGTTTATTTCTATTTTTTTCATATGACTTATTTCCTTCTTTGATTGATGATTCTTTTAGTGCATTTCTGTCCTTTGCTCATTTTCATTTTTTTTTTCATTTTATCCTCATGTAATATTTTCTTGAGAATATTCTGTACTGCACACTTTTAAAAAGTTATAGATTCTTTAACTTTTGTTTATCATGGAAGGTTTTTATTTCATCTTCAAATCTGAAACTCAGGTTTAGTGGGACTGGGTTGAGAAGTCAGCTGAAATCCAAACTGTTGTGCCCCTATATATAATTTGATATTTTTCTCTCATGGCCTTTAAAATTTGATCTTTATATTTTATGTTAGTCATAATGTGACTTGGTGTGGGTCTGTTGTAATTTTGTACATTTGGGGTCCTGTAAGCCTCTTGTATTTGATTTTCCATTTCATTCTTTATGTTTAGGAAATTTTCTGATATTATGTCATTGAAAATATTGTGCATTTCTTTAGTTTGTATCTCTGCACCTTCATCTATCCTGATAAATCTTAAATTTGGTCTTTTAATGTTATCCCATAATTCTTGGAAGTTATGCTCATGGTTTCTCATATCTTCTCTGCATGGTTAATTTTCAAGGTGATATAGTTTCTCTTCATCTGTTGGTGGGTACTTTCCATTAATTTTTCCTTGGGTTTTAAAATTCATTTTGAGGATTTCTGCTTGATTTCTTTTCAAAATCTGTTTCTTTATTGAAGTGATCTTTCATCATCTGAAATTTATCTCTGATTTCACTCTTTGCATCACCTTTACATTGTGGATCAGTCCAACTATGTACATTCTAAACTCCTTCTCTGATATTTCTTTTACTGTGTTGTCAATGGATTCTGTTACTGGAGCATGGTGGTTTGTTTGGGGCAATTTGTTCCCTTGTTTTTTTTCATGTTGTTTTTATGTCTTCCCAGTTAGCACTACGGATCTGAGGCAGTACAGTGTCCAGTATCTTGCCTTTAAGGGAGAGAACAATATTAACAGCACCCAATGCAAACCATATGCAGCCTCTTAACAAAATAGCTCCTATTAAGACATCTAGAGTTTTGTCACAATAAGCAGAAATAATGGTTCAATTATTGTTCATAGTATAAACTGTAAGTTTGTAAAAAGGTTTTACAATTTCAACTGGTGGATAAAGAGAGAAATGGTAGGATATGTTTAGGAGGAAGGAAAAGAGAAGTTAGAAGTAAAAATTCATAGAAAGAGTGAAAGAGGTATTAATAGAGGCTATCTGTTAAAAGTAGAAAAGAAAGAAAGATTCCAGGGAGACAGATAAGTGAGAGGAAAAATATATACATAGTAGAGAGAGAGAGAGAGAAACATAAAAATACAGAAGAAAACTGTAATATACTATTCAGACATCCCAGTCCTCAATAAACTGATTCATAAAAATTCTTGGTTTTAAAAATGGTAGAGAAGTAAAAGGGAAAGAAATAATAATTTAAAAATTTTTCTCAATGAAAAATTGAACAACTGTTTCCCTTGGAGTTCAAGTTTTTTAGCTTTCCTCTCAGCCGATATGTGTGGTAGTCTGGAGATTGATGGTAGCTCTGGTCTGGTGGGTGCTAAACTGGCTGGCTCAGCAAGCTGATAGCAAGATACCCTAATACCCTTTATCAAACTTCTGATCCATTATAGCCAACCTTGTCTATCCCCACATACTTTAGGACTCATGGAGCTGGGGACAGCCTTGCTCTCTCTGGCCTCTCTAACCTGTGATTCCCCTTAGTAAAATACTCCCAGTTTCTGACCTTTCCACAGGATTGCTAACTCAGATTGGACCAAGCAGATCTAGCTGTAAACTCACAGATCTGGGTTTCAGTTTCTTTAGGCTCTGCTGTGTTGCAGACCCATGATCTCAATGTTGTTTTAATTTACACACAAAGATGTGACCATGTGATGCAGCAGTAAGATTGTGGCCACCAGCACATACAGCAAGATCTCAGCTACAACTAAACCTCAAGGCACTTTGATTTGGGTCCTCCAGGCCTGTGTCCCCAGATGTAGGTGGTTGGGACTCAAGATGGCAACAGCAAACTTGCTGGCACCCTGATATCAGACTTCCAGTGGTAGCTGAAATGATACAATGTGGCTGGAGGAGGTAGGAATCAGGGCATGCTTTGGAGCATGTATTGTATCTGCTTTCTGATCACCATATGAGCCATTTCCCTCTGCTCTCCTTTCCTGCCATGATGTTCAGCCTCACCTCAAGATCCAAAGAACTGAGCTGGACTTCTATGGACTAAGACATCTAAAACCATGAGCCCCCAAACAAACCTTTCCTCCTTGAAGTTGTTCTGGTCAGGTCCTTTAGTCACAGCAGCAAAATAGCTGACTAAAACAACCAGTGTCCCGAGAGAGAAGAGGCTGGGTGCAAGGAAACCTGCAGGCACCCTAAGAATGGACCTCCAGGCTTTCACATGGCAGCAGCTATAGCAGCCTTGCTTTTTAAGTTTTGTGATTTTGGTTATTTACTGATTCATTTCATTGACAAATTAAATTTCATTATTTACTAAGTATTGGTATTTTAAAATATAAATACATGATGAAATAACTAAATCTAGGGGCTGGGGCTGGGGCTCAGTGGTAGCGCACTCACCTAGCATGCATGATGCACTGGGTTCGATCCTCAGCACCACATAAAAATAAAAAAAATAAATATTGTGTCCACCTAGAACTAAAAAGTAAATTTAAAAAAAAAGAAAGAAATGACTAAATCTAGCTAATTATCAAATTTATTATTTCATATAATTATCATTTTAGTGCTTAGAAAACATTGCAATTATTCTACTACCATTCATCAAGAATACAATACATTAGTTAGGTGTGGGGGTACAAGTCTGGAATCCCCACAACTTGAGAGGTTGAAGCATGAATATCCTAAATTCAAAGTTACCTTTAGCAACTTAGTAGGGCCATAAGTTAATTAGTGAGATGCTGTTTCAAAATGAAAAACAAAAAAAGGGCTTGGAATGTTGCTCAGTGGTTAATTATTTCTGGTGTTAATACAATATGAATATTTCATATTAAAAAATAAAATAAATGTGCACAAAAACAAAAGTCATATGAAATTTTAAAGATTTACTGGCAAGAAAAAGTCATATAGCAATATACAATTCATTTTTACTGGAATGATGTATCATAAAACACCTTTTCCATAGGATTTGTAAGACAAAAAAAAATCATCATAAACCTTTAATGTGTATGCAATAAAAAAAAAAAAAAAAAAAAAAAAAAAACCTATGCCAGGGCTCGGGTTGCGGCTCAGTGGTAGAGTGCTTGCCGCTTGCCTTGCATGTGTGAGGCACTGTACTGGGTTCTCAGCACCACATATAAGTTAGTGAATAAAATAAAGGCCCATCAACAACAACTATAACAAAAAAATAAATAAAAACTAAAAACATAACTGTGCCATCAATAAAATAGTTTTAAAAGAACATATAAATATACTAAATTTTGTCATAAAATTGAAGTTAATTTATTGCCAGTTTAAAATATAGTATAATTTTTAAAGATTTTTATAAAATCCCAACGTAAATGATAAAACAAATATACGTAGAATGAAGTGAAGTGAAAGAGAGATCAAAGAATTTCACCATAAAAATCAGTGGACCACAAGTTAAAGCAATAAGAAAACAAGATAAAAGAAATAAAAGAAGCAAGGGAAACTTACCAAAAAAACCCCAAAACAAAACAAAACAAAACAAAAAAACTATATGCAGTCTACAGGAGACTCTAAATCTACGGATACAATGTGAAGGCAAAAGCAAATAAAAATATTACACAACAATGACCAAAACCTGATGTAGCAATAATTATCATGTACAAAACATACTTTAAAACAAAAACTTAGGAATACATTTTATCCCCAAAGTAATTTTATTGGCAATATAAACAAAAATAAAAAATAAGAAAGAAACGTAATTTTATTGGCAACAGAAAAAAGGAACAGGCATATTTTAATTCATCTCACACTGCCCTAATTTGTGAAATATTGGGAACTGCCATAAAATCATAAATGTAGGTAAAAAAATGAAAGCATTAACTGATTGATGTGAGGAAACCTGCACTTTAACATGAAATTATCTTATAAAATAAAACACAGAGAAGGAAAAAAAAGAAATTTAACTAACAAAATTCTGAATAACCATGGATGTATTATTTTATAAACTCCTATATAACTACAACTTTCAACTATGACTATTTACCCAAAGTAAGCAGCCATTGCAAAGCACTGACATTCATTATATCGCCAAAAAAAAAAAAAAAAAAAAAGCAGGAAATCCATTATAATATTCAAAGGCGCTCTAATAAGGCAATTTCAATGAATAAATAAATATGTAATAAATAAATATGTAATATTAGAGAATCTGCTTTATGACACTAATATATTACAATTGCTCCATGTAGAGGTCTCCAGAAACGTGCATGGATTTCTGAGAGACTTCCACCAAATAATAAAAATGCCATCAGATGATGCTGACCTCACAAACAAAAGAGACTGTTTGGGCAATTAATTTGAACATATTGGGACATCAACCCAGGAGAAAGAGGAGACTAAAGAAGTTGAAAGCATGCTAAACACAGAGCATCTAGAACAACAAGAGAGATAAACATAAGCTTCTGGAAAACAATTTCTGTGGCATAATAACTTCTCCACCATCATTTGGAAGTTTGGCTTCCTCCTTGGCTTTTGGATCTCTTACCTGTGTCCTCTGCTTCTTGAATTTCTATCCACTTGGGAATATGGCTCAGGGCTCTCTCCTTTGCTCCAGAGGAGGGTGCCCAAATAGAGCTTAGAGATAATAAGATGTGTTCATTGAATTCTTCCTGTGATTACTGATGCTTAATAGTAGTACTGATGATACCACAAAGGGAAAAAATTATACTTTGACACGTAGGTTAAATCATTGTATATCACTGAATTACTGTAAGTAGCACTAATCTAAAGTGAAGGGTATATATCACCTCAAGAAATGAAGAGATAAAGGACTAAAAGAAATGGAACAAACTGCCCAATCCTTTTTCTTGAAGGCAAAAATCTTAAACTCATTAATGAAAAAAAAGAATCTCCCAAAAGATATTCTGCAAGGGAAGAAAACTATATAATTAGGAATTCTGAAGGGAAGCTCTGCTCACCCAGGAAGACCAGGTTTCTGTAGGTCTCCAGCATCACATCTCTGTATAAATTCTGCTGAGCAGGCTCCAGGCATTCCCATTCCTCTTCAGAGAAATCAATAACCACATCCCCGAATGTCAACAGTTCCTGAAATAAGAATAAGTCAATTAATAGCACATTGACCATTTGATCATTCACAGAGCTTCAAAGCTGACTGAAGATGAAATGAGAGTTAGTAGAACTGCTGTCAAGAAAGTGGGTGATTTTAATTATTCAAGAAAATACATTGTAACAGTGATATTCTCTATTATTTAACACTGACATAAGAGTGTCAATAGCCCCCCACCCCAAGTGAATATACTCCACTTTTATAAAATAAAATGTAAACTTAAGGCATTAACACAAGAATATACATTTTAATTGAGATTTAATATATAATATGAATTGTCTACTTCTCAGACAAGAAAGTTATGGTAAAAAAGGTAATAACATTAAAATATTAAGTATATAACCATAAATCAGAGATTTACTAAAATGCAGACTCTGATTCAGTGGTTACTGGATGGGAACTGGTTTTCTGAATATGTACAGTATTCCAATCTAGTGATATTAGTGCCAGAGCGCCGAGACACTCTTGAATAGCAATTAGGTATCCCACTATAGGAAAAAAAATAATTAATGAATTTGAGTTCAAGTATTTTAAGGGATTTATGTACTTTTATTAGAATACCAATTACCAGCAATAATCCTTTTTAGCTATTTCAAATACATACTTCATGTCTTAATGCAGAAACCCAAAAGATGTGATAGCTGTAGTGGTACTCCTCCTTTATCACATTTGTCAAATATCCAGTAAATGGTAGAGCCTGATTTTTACCCAAGTTTATTTGGCCTGTAACTCAGTAAAAAAAGGAGTATTAAAGTCAAGACAAAATGTGAATGTTAGAAGAAGAATTTTTATAGCATGGCAGTGATTACAAATGAGAAGACTAATGAAAGTATTCAAGAAGAAACATGATCAGATTGATCAAATGATATTTAGGTTTCACGTACACACATACAGAAATGTCAACTTCACACATTAAAAACAATTTTTCATGTAAATTAAAATAAGAAGCATATTCTGCTTTGTAACACATATAAACTAATTTGGGATGGATGCTATTTTAAAAGACACTATTGAGATACAGATAATTAAAGATAGTAAATAAAATAAGAGCTACATTTACTTGGTCTTTTCATTTTTTCCCTGTTGTTGAAATTTTATTTTGAGGTATACTTTGTAATTTTCAGACAACTGGAAAGATATAACTCTTGTCTCATTCACAGAAAATGCAAGGAGGTTATGAGGTTTAGGTCTGTGAGCTGGAGGTAGAATAAAATGAAAGCCTACAAGACCGTGGTCTGCTTCAGGAGCTCCAGTAATAAAGTCAGTACTCTGGTAAACAAAAGGCAGAGGCTATATTCACCCAAAGCAAAACATAAGGAAAAACTACTCAGAAAAAAAGAGTTTCTGGATCAAATATGATTGTTCAAGTAGATTATTTAGAAAAATCCTACCAAGATGCCTACAAACAGAAAAAATTAATTTTATGGAGTTAATTTGGCTGACAGCATTTATACCAAGCAAATGAGGCTAAAACAGTTGTAGAACAAATAGAACAAATTTTAACAAAGTTGCATCAACATAAAAGGTCATATCATCAGTGCTGTAATATCAGTGGCCATCAAAACAAAATGACATAATAAGAATTGTAGTAGACTTTCTTTGGCATTCTAAAGATTGAGTCATTTCTAATCATTCTGTTTGTTCAGGACATACTAATTTCTTAGGGGAAACTAATGTACATTTTACTAACACTGTGTATGTAGAGATGATGGAGCATCCAGATGGAAAGTAAACAAAGCATGGTTCCATTCTTCAGCAACATCTAATGACCCCAAAACATGTCCAATAGGAATCTAGGATACCAAGATTTTCCAATATCCATTTACCAAAAAGAAAATCTTTTCAATCCTGTAGGCATGGCATGGCTTAGACGAAAGTGTAAGAACTGAAGGCTCCTGGTATAGGGGGTATATATGGGCACATATATTTTAAACAGATAATGTTGTTTACCATGAGAAGAGAAGGAATCAAAGTGGCTAAAACATGTTAAACACAAACCTGATTGATAGAAAATTACAGGTGTGCATATTTCAAATATAAGGTAGTTTGGGAGAACAATACAATGCCACACCTGATGTGGACCACTTATCTGGAAACCAACTACATTGTTCTCTTCCTTCTCTAAACTTCCTTCTCAGGAGTGACTGCTTACAATTCAAACCCATAAATGCATGGGTCTCAAGAAACAAAATACATGGGTCTCAAGAAACAAAATACATGGGTCACAAAGACCTTTTATGGTAGCCTCAAGATTAACTTAACTACAAGTCACAGAGCTCAGATCTCTATGTTTCCCAATTTTATTCATTTAGTTTTAGATGAGAAAGGACCCATTACTTAATGGGTAAAGGTATTCACACTCAGTAGGATTTTGTTTTGTACCAGTGGTTGCTGGGATCCAGGGGATATATACAGATTTACCAGTAGCAACATTCATAGTTGTAATAAAATTCATTTTACATTTAGTCATTTTTACTTTTTATTTTAAAACACATTCTCCCTAAGCTTCCACGTTTGATCTCCAAATGTTATCTTTTTTTGCATTAGCCTCCTGAGAAGATGGCATCTTAGACATGCACTACCCACCATGCCTGGCAAAACTCAGTGTTTATGTCTACAGGAGGCAACAAATGTGTAAAGCACTTATATTTCATTCCTCAAGAGGGAAAAACAAAAGCATCCATCTTTTTCAGAAAATAAAAGTAAAATTTTGTTGCTATCTTCATGATAACAAATAATGTGCTAAAAAGTAAATCATATAAATGATTCTAGGATTTGCCAAAACTTATATCACATGATTTAGTATTAAGCTCAAAAACCCAGATCAATGACTTATTGACAGTCACAGGCTTTCATGGATAAGAAGCTGATAACTTGGTAAATTTGAAATTCAACTATGTTGCTGCCCCTCAATTTTTTAAAACTGTATTCATTTTTTTTTCTGCAGCCACAATGGGAGAGATATTTTCCCTATTTACTATTTCTGGTAGAATTTCCAAAGCTAAACCCTGGAATTTCACTTGAAATCACTCCCAAAATACAGAGCCATGGAAAAAACCCAAAGAAGACTCTGAAGAAGAAAGGTAAAAAAACATTTAAATACAGTAATGTAAGGCTGACTTCCTTTACTAAAATCCTACTCTGTCCTATACCTTTGGAGACAAGGACCAAGCTCTCATTATCAAATTTGGTTGTATGAAGAAAACCAACAGTGACCTGTTCAAGCATTCTTAGGTAGGTCTGGCACTGTGAGTAACCCCACATCCACACTGAGGATACAAGGTGGCTGATCATCTCATTGACAGTTGAGTGTGGAGAATTAAGAGACAGGTAAGTTTGTCTCAGGTTGTCCTGGAGGAGCTGTTTTTTTAAATAAAGAGAGGGTCTGAGCGGCCTTCCCAGAAGCTGCCAAGGCTCCTTGGTTTCTGGGATCTCTTGATTCTCTCCCTGAATGTTGTGGGTTGCTCCACCTTGGGTCTACTATAGAAAAAAGGAAACTAAATGCAGTAAAGTGATGCCAAATTGGACATCCAACAAGCTCCCCAAGTGTGCACACTGAGACCCTTGATTCCACACATCTGGCCCCCTATGGGGGAAAAATCCTGATCCCTGGGGACATCTATGGGATCATTGGTGTCAGAGTTGTGCTTCAATGAGAGTAGGAAACTTAGGAGATTTTCCCCCTGTCAGCTCTGTTTTAAAGGCTCCCTTCTGTTGGTCCTGGTTTGGGGATCTCTTCTGGTTGTCTCCATGCTTTTGATTGAATGTTGCTGGCCCTATAAGACATGGGCAATGCTGCATTGATCTCACCTGCAGACTCTTGAGAAAAATCCTGTCTGAGAGGGCCAAAACTAGGTATAAGCCTGTCCAAAAATAGCTGATGTTTTACTGTAACCATCAGATCACTGAATGACTTTCTTAATTATTATGATCTTGCTATTGGAATTGGTCTGTCAGAGATAGGTAAATAGAAGAAATAATATAAGTGCAGGTATTCACGCAGTTGCATGAGGAGTCTGAGTGGCCTGAAACAAGATGGTGGTGTAGAAAGGCACTGCCTCTGGTGTGCAAGGATAGCAAGACACCAGAAAACAAAAGTGTGCCCAGCACTGTTTCTCAGCCCAGTCCCAGGCAGCTGCAGATCAACCCACTGTGGGTCAGAAAAACCAGCCCTATGTCAGAAGAAAAATCCCAGATAAGCTTCTGGGGTTTAGAGAAGTAAGTGAAGAGGATGTGGCCTATGCCATGTCTTCAGCCTCCTTTGCCTAAGCTGGGAAAAGATACATACACACACAAAAAAAGACATGGCAGGGGGTGTTGTAACCACTAAATAATGACTTGGGGACAAGGGATGGTCTCTCCTTTGGGATTTCAAGGACAACTCATTTGCTCAGAAGACACTCATCCCCAAGGCAAAGCCATTTTCCCTATGACAGTACCCCATCACCCTAAATGAAGATGGACAGCATAAGCAATGGCACAAAGAAAAAAAAAAAACAGGTCTGGATAAAAGTAAATGGCTAGAGGGAATAAAAACAAAACAAAACAAACAAACAAAAAAAAACCGTGACCTTTTGGGCCCTGGACTAGCCAGGCTCTAGTGAAGCAGCAGGGCTTATGCCCATATAGATATAAGGCCAGCTTAGATGAAGAGAGGCAAAGCCTCCAGTGCAAACTCCCCCAACTTTTGTGTCATAATCCTCTTCCCTAGTGCCTGAAAGTACATGGCTCTGAATGAAGTCCAGACTTTTGTACACAGACCTCAGCATATACAATGGCCCCCTCAAGTCCCCATTTATGAAGGCATCTGCTTCTTGGTCCTGCTGGTTTCTGCAGAAGGAAGTCCCTAAAAATATCTGTTTGGACTAGCTGTTGTTGTGCATGCTTGTAATCCCAGCAACTTGTGGGGCTGAGGCAAAAGGATTAGAAGTTTGAGCCAGCTTCAGCAAATTAGGGAGGCCACAGAAAACTTAGAGAG